CACATCTGGCTAATTATTATTTTTTTTATTTTTAGTGAAGACAGGGTTTCACCATATTAGCCAGGCTGGTTTTGAACTCCTGACCTCAAGTGATCGGCCTGCCTCGGCCTCCCAAAGTGCTAAGATTACAGGTGTGAGCCACCGCACCTGGCCCATTTCACATTTTTATTAGCAATGTATGGCAGTGTGTTTCCCCACAGTCTAAGAGGTTTTGTCTTATCAAACTTCTGAATTTTTTCCAGTGTAATGGGTGAAAAATATCTCAATGTAGTGTGGTTTTGATTTGTTCTTTTTCCAGCTTTTTGAGATAGAAGCATAGATCACTGACTTTCATCTCTTCTCTTTCTGATTTAAACTAATATATCAATTTAGGATATAAACTTCCCTCAAGTATTGTTCTAACTGCATCCCACATGTGCTGATACACCATATCTTTTATACTGTATCATACATTTCAAAATATTTTCTAATTCCCTTTGTGTTTTCACTGATCCATGGATTATTTAGAGGTGTACTGCTTAATGTTACCAAAATAGCTAAAGATTTTTTTTTTCTTTCTTTTTTTTTTTTAGATGGAGTCTCACTCTGTCGCTCAGGCTGGAGTGCAGTGGAGCGATCACAGCTCACTGCAACCTCCGCTTCCCAGGTTCAAGTGATTCTCCTGCCTCAGCCTCCCAAATAGCTGCGATTACAGGCAAACACCACTACGCCTAGCTAATTTTTGTAATTTTAGTAGAGAAGGGGTTTCACCATGTTGGTCAGGCTGGTCTTGATCTCCTGACCTCAGGTGATCCACAGGCCTTGGCCTCCCAAAGTGCTGGGATTACAGGCTTGAGCCACTGTGCCCAGCCTGGAGATTTTCTATCTATTCTTTTGTTTCTCATCTTTTTTTTTTTTAGCTTAATTCCACTATGGTCAGAAAACATACTGCAAATGTTTTAAATGTGTTAAATTTAACTGAGGCTTAATTTATGACTCAGGTTATGATCAAGATGGCAAATGTTCCATACGCCTTTTTAAAAATGAGTAGTTTGTCATAGTTGAAATCAACTTATAGAAATGTCAGTTAGGTCAAGTTTGTTTTTTAGTAAGATGATTTATATTTTTACTGATTTTTTTGTCTGCTTAATTCTATTACCTATTAAGAGGTATGTTAAATTCCACTAAGACTGCAGATTCATGTTTAATACTTATATAACTTAAAATTATGCTATTAGTTACATATAAATTTACAATTTTCTATATCCCTAGTGGACTAATCATTTTATCATTATGAAATGTCTGTCTTTAACCGTAGTAATGCTTCTTACCTTAAATTCCATATTGTCTGATATTAGTATAGCTATACCAACTTTGTTTTTACTAGTATTTGCATGATATATCTTTTTTCTTTTCTGAAACAGGGCCTTACTTTGTCACCCAGGCTGGAGGGAAATGGTACAATCATAGCTCACTGCAGCCTCAAACTCCTAGGCTCAGGATTCTCCTGCCTCAGCCTCTGGAGTAGGTAATACTATGCTTGGCTAGGTTGGTTTGTTTGCTTTTTTTAGTAGAGATGGTCTCACTATGTTGTTCAGGCTGGTCCCAAACTCCTGGTCTCAAGCAATCCTCCTGTCTTGGCTTCCCAAAATGCTGGGATTATAGGCATGATCCACTGTGCCTGGCTGATACATCTTTTTAAAATTTGTTTAATTTCAACTGTTGCATATTTATATTAAAAAGCACATAATTTGGTTCATATCTGAAAACCCAGTTGATAATGTCAGTATTCTACCTGGAGTACTTAGTCCTTTTACATTTATTCTAATCACTGATATATTAGGTTTATCTGTCATTTTACTATTTGCCTTCTATTTCACACATTTCCTTTTGTCCTCCTTTGTCTCTTTTTAAAAATTAATCAAACGTTTATTCCTTTTCCTTTAATTATACACGTTTTGCTATTCTTTAAGTGGTCAGCCTAAAGATTGCAACTTGCATCTTCAACCTATTACACACTAAAAATATGTATTATTACTTTAATTTCATTACTTTCTTGATAATGCTAAAACCTAGCACTTTATCCATGAATACTCACGGGAAGTTGATCTCATGTTAACCTTTTGGCTATGTTCCCTAGGAAATCTTCCCCTTGTGGAAAGGGATGAAAGCTGGAGACAAACTTATGCTGAGAAGCGGTCCACTCCTCTCCACTGTCCATAAAATGGACTTGACCAGAAACCAAGCTGCAGCTGGGCTGGTTGGCAAAAATAATTTTGCCTTGGTGCAGCTGATGCATTAGGCCAAACTAAGCATCGATGACTGGCTGGGGGCGGGAAGGAGACAAGCACAGGACTTGAGAGTTTATGTCTGTGACTGGGTCTGTGATAGGACAAAGTGGGTGGAGCAGCCGGCTGGCTCTGACCAAGCTGAGTTGCCTGCTCATCCAACGAGCACGGAGTAATGTCGACGAGCCTCTACCTGAGGCAGCGGGGGACAAAAGTAGGGGAATTACTCTGCAGCAGCCCACACCGGTAACCTGGCATACAAGCTGGCACAGTGGCAATGGCAGCAGCTTGGTGCAAGTCTAGGGCCACTGGTGGAGCCCTCTGAGCTGCAGCCTGAGTCCCGTCCTGAAGGTTCTGATAGCATAGATGGATCAGATGGATTTAACCCTAAAATAGAGTCTGGTCAATGCCATCTGCTGACAGTTAGTGACAATTAAAGTCAATGTGAACTCAAAAACTCCCTAAAGAGACAATTAAGAGATGGGCTTTTGAAGCAATAATAAATAATGTCTAGTATTTTAAAGGTTGAAGCTAAGAGAACATACCTTTTGCGAACAGTAAACAGGAAAGGGGCACTTTTACTTTGTTATCAATGCCATTGAATAAGGCATTGGTTTCAATTGTGGTCCTCGGTCAGCAGTATCACCTGGGAATTTATCAGATATGTAAATTCTCAAGCCTCGCCCTAGAGCTACTGAGCTAGGAAGTAAGTCATAGGGCACCAACAATCTGTGTTTTAACAAGGCCTCCAGGTAATTCTTATCTACCCTAAAGTTTTAACTCAAGGTCGTGGAAGTCAGTCCATGAGCCTAAAATGGAAAACAATGTTGGATTAAACTTCTAGCTTTATTTCACTAAATATCTAATATCTGTTACAGGTAACATATGGTAAAAAATAACACTGGTTGGTAAACCTATCTGGACTGAGATGATTGTGAATAAACTACAAATACCTGAAGAATAGCCACAGCTTTGAGCTTCTGAGTGTCAGGGTTCTTGGAGCCAAGCCATGTCCCTCTCCAGGACTCTCTGCTCATGGGGCTATTATAAAAGATATTGACTCTTTTTTTGGAACTTAGGGTATCTAAGCTAGGGTAGTTCCCACAATTAATACTTTGATTTGTTCCCTTCTACCTGAACTGACACTTGGCAGAAAACGCGGGTGGGCAGAGAATGGCCCCTGGACTAAGGTGTGAGCTATGCGAGGGCTCACTCTGGGGGTGTACCGGATGCTGCTGCAGGGGCATGAATGTGAAATGTCTAACTGGTCCTAGGACTATCTAATATGGTCTGTACGGTTCCCTTCTGCCTTTTATTGTTTTATTATTATTGTTATTTCATTTTTATTTCAGTTCCCATCTGCCTTTTATTGTTTTATTATTGTTGTTACACATTTTTACTTTGGAAGATGTTACAGTCCTCGTTTTGTAGAGCCATTCTCATTTCTGTCTCCTCGAATATTTACCCATGCTGTGGCTTTGTGCTCTTTCCTATACTTCTGAGCCTCCACGTGGGATAGTTTTCCTTCTACCTGAAAAAACCCTTTAGTGATTTTTTAGTACAATCTGTTGGTAACACAAATCTTCCAGCTTTTAGTGGTCTAAAATCTTTATTTAACTTTCATTTTTTAAAAGTGAGGTATAACTTACATAAACAAATGCTCAGATCCTAAGTGTAACATTCCCTTTTGACAATTAAGAAACAAAGACATAGAAATATCTGACACTCCAGAAAGTTCTTTCATGCTGTATCCCAGTCAACACCTTCCCCCATGAAGTAATTACTGATCTGATGTCTATCCCTATGTTATTTTCCCCTATTCTAGAATTTCATGTAGTTAGAATCATTATGCATTTTTTTGTGACCAACTTCTTTTGTGAGAATAATATGAGAGTCATCAATGTTGTGGATGTTGGTTCTTTTTTGCTGAATAGCATCCACTGTCTCAATAGAGCACTCTTTACCTATTCTTCTATTGATGGGCACCTCACTGTTATCAGTTTTCTTGGCTGCTGTAAATATTTTTTTCCAAGTATTTTGTGGACATACATTTTCATGCCTCTTTGATAAATTTCTAGCAACAAAATTACTGGGTCATGTATATATAACTCTTTAATAAACCGACAAACTGTTTTCCAAAATAATCATATTATGTCTACTCCCACTAGCAACATATGAAGGTTCCAGTTGCTCCACATCCTCTCCAACATTTGTCATTGTCTGTCTTTTTCACTGTAGCCCTTCTAGAAGGTATGAAGTGGTATTTCACTGGGATTTTACTTTTCATTTCTAGATCACTAATACATTGGGTACTTTAAAAATATAATTACTACACATATATCGTGTTTTGTGAAATGCCTATTCACAAAACTCACCTTTAAAAAACTGCATTGTCTTTTTAAAAATTACTAAATTGTAGTTCTTTATATATTTTGAACTCAAGTCCATCAGATATATGTATTGTGAATTTTTTCTTTAAGTCTGTTTTCTTGTATCTGTTGAAGATAAATTTTATTTAAATTTTTTTTTAAGCTGGAGTGCAGTGACACAATCATGGCTCATTACATCCTCAAAGTCCTGGGCTCAAGCAATCCTCCTACCTCAGACTCCTCTGTAGCTAGGACTACAGGCATTGCTGGCTAATTTTTAATTTTTTTGTAGAGACGGGGTCTTGCTATGTTGCCCTGGTTGGTCTTGAACTCCTGGCTTCAAGTAATCCTTCTGTCTTGGCCTCCCAAAGTGCTGGGATTGGAGGTGTGAGCCACCATGCCCAGCTGAGAAACTGTAATGAAGTCCAACTTACCAATTATTTTTTTCTTGTATAGTTCATGCTTTCTAAGAGGTCTCTGCCTACACCAAGAATTTAAGGAGAATATCTTATGTTTTGCTCTGGTAGCTTTATTGCTTTAGCTTTACTTTTATGTCTATAATTTATCTCACGTTGATTTTTGTGGATGATGTGAGGTATGGGTTAGGTTTTTTCTTCTATATGCATATCCATGAGTTCTAGACATATTTATTAAAGAGATTTTATTTCCTTCATTCAAATGATCTAGTGCCCTTTGAGGAAATAATTTGACCATATTTGAGAAAATCATTTGACCATATATGTAAGGGTGTATTCTTGGCCTCTCTCTTCTGTTCCACTGTTCTGTTGGTCTATCATTTTGCCAATAACACACATAATGATTACTTTATTTGCTTCATTTTTAAAGGATATTTGCAGGGTACAGAGGTCTAGGTTGGTGCTGTTTTCTTCCAGCAATTGAAATGTCACTCTGTTGTCTTCTGGTTCCACTGCTCCTACTGAGAAGTCAGCTGTCGGTCTTGGACATTTGAAAGTGCGTTCTTTTCTCTATCTTTTAAGATTATACTCTGTCTTTTGTTTTCGGCAATTTGTTATGATGTTCTAGTAAGGCTTCTTTGTATTTATATCTGTGGATCACACACTTTCTTGATTCTGTGAAATAATGTCTTTCATAATTTTTAGGAAATTCTGAGCCATTACCTCTTCAAACATTGCTCCTGCCTTGTTCTCTCTCCTCTTCTCCTGGGATTCTGTATGTTAGATTTTTTTTGGATGTGACCCACATGTCCTTTATTCCCTTATCTCCCCTCTGCCTCCACAAATTCCTTTATGTCTTTATAAATCAGTTGGGATATTTTCTAATAACCTGTTTTGACCTATCTTTCATCTTTTCTGCTGTGACTAATCATCTGGTTTACTGTTCTACTTGTTATTGTAGTGAAAACTCATAAAATTTATCTTAACCATTCTAAGTATATGGTTCAGTAGTGTTTAGTATGTTCACATCAGGTAACCAACCTTCAGAACGTCTCCATCTGGGAAAACTGAGGCTCAATATCCATTAAAAAACTTTTCACAGCCCCTTCCTCCCAGTTGCTGGCAGCAATCATTCTATTTTCTGTCTCTATGAATATGACTACTCTAGATACCTCACGTAAGTGGAATCATTCAGTATTTGCCTTTTTGTGACTGGCTTATTTCACTTACCGTAATTCCTCAAGATTCCTCCATGTTGCAGCATGCGTTGGAATTTCCTTCCTTTTTAAGGCTGTATTCATAGTATGTATATCCCATATTTTGTTTATCCATTCATCTGTGGATGGGCACACAGATGGCTTCCACCTCTTGGCTACTGTGAATAGTATGGCTATGAACATGGATGTGCAAGTATTTCTTTGGAATCCTGCTTTCAGTTCTTTTGGATATATATCCAGGAGTGGAACTGCTGAATCATATGGTAATTCAATGTTTAATTGAGAAACTGTGATACTGTTTTCCATAGTGGCTGCATCATTTTTTTTTTGTTAGTTTTGATTTCATAATCATAAACTTAACTCTGCAATCCAGCTATATGTGGAGGGATATAATGAAAATGTAGAACTCAAAGAACTGCAGTGAGAATACAAATACTATAGGATACTGTGAGCAAATGGGGTGGAATGGTGCTCTCCTGAGCTACAAAAGGAAAGGTCTGGTGGTTAAGATAAAACAGAAGTGAAATTTATTAGAGTTGTCTGCAGTCGGCAATGGCGATCTTCTTGCTTGTCTTGCCATTCCTGGACCCAAAGCATTCCATGGCTTCCACAATATAAGATCACATGCTTGCCAGCCAATCACTTGGCCATGGCAGTGCAGATGAAAAACTGGGAACCATTTGTTTTGGGTCCAGCATTTGCCACAGACAAGATGCCAAGACCTGTATGCTTCACAATAAAGTTCTTATCAAATTTATCCCCATAGAGGGACTTGCCCTCAATGCCATTATGGTGTGTGAAGTCATCAACCTCGATATTCCATATAAACTCTGGAATAATTCTGTGAAAGCAGGAATCTTTATAACCAAATCCTTTGTCTTTATTGTTCAGAGTGTGAAAGTTTTCTCCTGTCTTTGGAAATGTGTCTGCAAATAGCTGAAAGGAGATGTCTCCCAAGGGCTTGCTGTTGATGGTGATGTTGAAGGGCACAGTGGGGATGACCATGGCCTAGTGACAGGGGCTGATGGGGGGCAGCAGTGTCTGCAAAGCCAGCTGCATCATTTTATATTCCCACCAACAGTGTATAGGCATTCCAATTTCTACATCCTTGCCAATGCTTATTAATTTTTTTTTTTTAATAGTGGCCATCCTAATTGGTGTGATGTGATATCTCGTTGTGGTTTGATTTGCATTTTCCTGATGATTTGTGGTATTGAGCATATTTGCATATGCTTGTTGGCTGTTTGCGTATCATCTTTGGAGAAATGAGTATTCAAGTCCTTTGTATATTTTTTAATTGGGTTATTTTGTTTTTAAGTTGTACAAGTTGTTTATGTAATTTGGATATTAACCCTTTATTAGATGTGTGACTTGCAAGTATTTTCTCATAGTCTGTAGGCTGTCTTTTCACTCTATTGTGTCCTGTGATGCCCAGAAGTTTTAAATTTTAATATAGTCCAATTTGTCTATTTTTACATTTGTTGCCTGTGCTTTTGTTGTCATATCCAAGAAATACAACGTCTTAATGCTTTTTTCCTATGTTTTCTTCCAAGAGTTGTACAGTTTTAGGTCCTACACTTAGGTCTTTGGACCATTTTAACTTTTGCATATGATATAAAGTAAGGGTCCAACTTCATTCTTTTGCATATGAATATACAGTTTTCCTAACACCACTTGTTGAAGAGACATCTTTTCCCCATTGAATGGTCTTGGCATCCTTGTGGAAAATCATTTGACTATATATATGAGGGTTTATTTTTGGGCTCGCCATTGTCTAATTTGATTTTATACCCATTGACTGAGTTCTTAATTTCAGTTATTGCAATTCTCAGCTCTAGAATATCCATCTGATTCTTTTTATCTCCCACAAGTTCCAATTATCTGGGGGGAAATTTCCCTTTTATTTATTTTCTCCTTGTCTTCTATTTTCTTGAACACATTATCATTGTTATTTCAAGTCCTGGTCTTAACTCCACTGCCTAAATCATCTGTGGGCATATTTCTATTGTGTGCTCTTTCTCTTGGTTTTCAGTTCCATCTCTTGAATGTCTAGTATAATTTTACTAAAGGCTTGACATTGTGTCTAAGAAGGTGTCGAGGCTCCATATGATGTTATCTTCTAAAGAGAGCATTCATACATTCTTTAGCTTGGCAAGTAGACAATAAACTTAATTCAATAGCTGACTGAATTTGGGCTGCCATGCCATTGTGTAAAGGCTACAGTTGGCAATGGTGATCTTCTTGCTGGTCTTGCCATTCCTAGACTCAAATTTCACTTACCCTTAGTTTTGTCCCTTCATAAAAGGCACAAATCTCCAGACTTTCCAAATGAAATCCCGGGATAGTCATCAAAAGCCTCTTGTCCTCAATGCTGGGTCTTTAACTCTAATACTAGCCTCCTAAAAACGGTTTTTCACAGCTTTCTACTTGGCTTTCTGGTCTCCTGTGTTTTGTAGCTTCAAAATTTGCCTATGTATTGTGAAGAGTACTAGGCTCACATCTGTCTTTCCCTTCTCAGCAGGATCTTAGCCCTTCTAGTATTCAATCTTATTTCTCTAGCCCTGCATGACTTCTAAAGGCTGTTTTTTTTCTCTGCCTAGATCAGCCTCCTGTATTGTAGCAGATCATTCTCTCTTTTTAAAAAAAGCTTGCTTTCCATCTTTTTCCTCTTTATAATTCCGTTTGGCTATTTTCCATAATTTTCTGCTTTCATTTTCTCTTCTGCTGCATCTAGTCCATTTTTCTAAGATTGTTGACCTTCTTCCTTCCTTGTAAAAAAACTCCTTAGAAATTAGGTTTAAAATCCCTTTATCTGTAATATAATTTGAAAATACTGTTCCCGGCTTTTCATTTTGTTCATTGTGCTTGCTTGAAATGCAAGTTTTTAAAAAAAATTAAGTTATTCATCTTTTTCCTTAGTGTGTATGAATTTTGAGTCAATTAGGAATTTTTCCCTATATCCAATTTACAGAGAAATTCCCATGCATTCTATTTGTCCTTGTATGAAGTCATTTTGTTACATTTATTTTAATCTCTGATCCATTTAAAATTTATCTTGGTGTGTAGTGAAGGAATGGATGTATTTTTTTTTTTTTTTTTTTTTTTGAGATGGAGTCTCACTCTATTGCCCAGGCTAGAGTGCAGCAGCACGATCTCGGCTCACTGCAACCTCCGCCTCTCGGGTTCAAGTGATTCTTCTGCCCCACCCTCCTGAGTAACTGGGATTACAGGTGTATACCAGCTAATTTTTTTGTATTTTTAGTACAGACAGAGTTTCAACATGTTGGCCAGGCTGGTCTCGAACTCCTGACCTCAGGTGATCCACCTGCCTCTGCCTCCCAAAGTGCTGGGATTATAGGCATGAGCCACCACACCTGGTGGAATGGATACAATTTTATCTTTTCCTCTATTTAGCATTAAAACATACATTTCCTTTCACTGATGAGATGCTGCCTTTACAGTACTCAAAATTGCCATATGCAATTAGTTTTCTATTCTTTCCCATTGGTTTGTGCATTCATGCAGCAATATCAAACTACATTAATTAAAGGCTTCATGTACATTTAATGTCTTCTAGGTTAAATCCTCCTCTTCTCCCACTGTTCTTTTTTTCAATTTCTCTAATTATTCTTGATTGTTTCTTCTTTGAGATGAACTTAAACAATTATTAATAGCTTGCCTGGCACCAGAAAAAAACATGGCATTTTTGTTATTGTATTAAAATGACAAATTAACTTAAGAGAACTGACATTGTATGACGCTGAGACTTCACATGCAAGAACATGGTTAAGTCTTTCCATTTGTTCAAGCCTAGTTTGCATTTTTCAGAAGAGTTTTAAATTTTGGAGATTTTAGAAAAACTTGCCCAAGGTATTTTCTTTTAAAATTCTCTTACAACTTCTGTTTTTTTTTTTTAATTGCATATATGAAAAGTATTTATTTTTGTATGATAACTGTACTGATTTCTGGCTTAATCTGTTTTGGTCAATATCCATTTCCATGCTAAGTACTTTAAATCTTTGGAAATTTGTTGAGTCCTTTTTTATGGCTAAGTAATATGTTAAGTGTTCACATATGATAAACGTTCCTTCCTTGTGCATGTAAAAGAATAAATTTTGGGCTGAGCATGGTGGCTCACACCTGTAATCCCAGCACTTTGGGAGGCCGAGGCGGGAGGATCATAAGGTCAGGAGTTCGAGATCAGCCTGGCCAATATGGTGAAACCCCGTCTCTACTAAAACATACAAAAATTAGCTGGGCGTGGTGGTGCACACCTGTAGTTCCAGCTACTCGGGAGGCTGAGGCAGGAGAATCACTTGAACCAGGGAGGCAGAGGTTGCAGTGAGCCAAGATAGCACCACTGCACTCCAGCCTGGGCAATAGAGCGAGACTCTGCCTCAAAAAAAAAAGAAAAAGAAAAAAAAAAGAATTTTGTCACTGCTGGATGCAGTGCTTATATGTCAACTAGGTCCAGTTTGTAATTGTGGTTTTTTTTGTCTGCTATAATAATAACTGCTATCAGTTATTATAATTTTATTCAAAACTACTTCAATTAGGAGTATGTCTATTTCTTCTGCCAGTTATGTCACCAATGCTTACCTTATATATTTTAGACTATATTCTTAGGTTCATACTGTTTACAGAACATACCTACCTGTGAATTAAATCTATATTACTTTCCTATAGCTACTGTGACAAATTAACACATACTTCGTGGTTTAAAACAATAAAAATGTATTATTTCACAGCTGTTAAGGTAGGAGGTCCAAAATCAGTATCATTGGGTCAAAGTCAATGTGTCAGCAGGGCTGTGCTCCCTTCAGAGGATGAAGAGAATCTGTTACTTCCCTCTTCTGGTTTCTTGTAGCTGCTGGCATTCCTTTGCTTGTGGCTGCATAACTCTGCCTCTATTGTCACACAACCTTCTCTTCTGGATTAAGTCTCTCTCTGTCTCCTTCTTTATAAGAATACATGTGATTGGCTTTAGGACCTGGATAATCCAGGATAAACTGGATAATCCAGGATAACTGGTCCATCTCCAGATCCTCAATTTTATCTGCAAAGTCCTCTTCTTTCCATGCTGTGTATGTACATAGTTTTCACAGGTTCCAGGGATTAGAACATGGATACCTTTGTGGGGGACACTATTCAGCCTGCCACAGATCCCTTTATTGTTATAAAATATTCCACTTTAACTCTAGTAATGCTTCTTATTATAAAGTTTACTTTCTCTGACAAGGGTATAGTTATATAGCTGTTATTTTCTTATTTTATTTTATTTTATTTTAAATCTAGCCCACATTTAATTCTTAAGTTACACAGTCTTTCTCCATTTAACTACTGATGTACTTGGGTCTATATTTGCCATTGTACTATTTGTGCTCTACTTTTATGTACCTTTATCTTCCTTGACTTCCTTTGGATTAATCAAATGTTCTACATGATTCCATTTTCCTTCTATTAAGTTACATTTTAAAATAATTTTTAGTTGTTAGCCTAGAGCTTAAAACATGCTTTTTTACTTATTAAAGCCAATGCAAATTATTACTTTTACTACTTGGCTGATACCAATTAAGCCTTAGGACTTCTAAACTCCATTTGCTTCCCTCTCGTCATTAATGATATTGTTACCATGAATTTCAGATATACAGGACATAAAATTGAAACTCCTCAGGGTGTACAATTATTATTTTGTACAGTTACTATTCATTTACATATGTTTCCCAGTGTTCTTCATTCTTTCTTCCAAGTCCATATTTCTATCTGGGATTATATTCCTGATGAACTTCCTTTAATTTTTCAATGCAGGCCTACTGGTACCAAATTCTCTCTGTTTTTGTTTGTTTGAACACATATTTGTCTTGCCTTAATCTTTTTTTTTTTTTTTTTTTTTTTGAGACAGAGTCTCGCTCTGTGCCCCAGGCTGGAGTGCAATGGCGCAATCTCGGCTCACTGCAAGCTCCGCCTCCCGGGTTCACGCAATTCGCCTGCCTCAGCCTCCTGAGTAGCTGGGACTACAGGCGCCCGCCACCGCGCCCGGCTAATTTTTTGTATTTTTTTTTAATAGAGACGGGGTTTCACCGTGGTCTCGATCTCCTGACCTTGTGATCCGCCCGCCTCGGCCTCCCAAAGTGCTGGGATTACAGGCGTGAGCCACCGCGCCCGGCACCTTAATCTTTTAAGAAGATTTTGGCTGGTTTAGAATTCTAAGCTTGCAGTTTTCTCATTCTTGCACTTTAAACATGTTGTTACAACGGCTTCTAGTTTCTATCATTTCTGTTCAGAAGCTAACAGTCTCATTGTTGCAACTGTGAAGGCAACTGGCGAATTAAAGATGGGCTACATATTCTTTGTCACTACCATCAGGTAGAGGATATTTTCCCTGTCTGTAATTTTGAGCAGGCCCCAGGACTTGCTTTGAAAGGCAGCATGGATGAAGTAGTGCTGCTTCAGTTTTATGCACAAGCTCTGAGAGGCCTGGCCTGGATGCTTCTGCTTTCACGCTCTTGGAGCCCTCAGCCATCATGTGAAATGGCCCAGGACCCTGCTGGAGAGGGAACTGCAGCTGTGCCCCAGCTAATGCAGCCACCCCAGTTGAGGCACCAGACATTTGAGTAAAGCCATCTTTGGTGGCCAGCCCCAGGGGAGTCCCCACATGTCTGCAGTTGTGTAAATGACTCCAGGTGAGACCAGAAGAAATGCCCAGCTGAGTCCAGTTCAGACTGTAGAATCTTAAGCAAAGAATAGTTTTGTTTTAAGGTAGTAAATTTTGGGGTGATTTGTTAGGTAGAAAAAGATAACTGAAATAGTATTTCGTATTTAAATAGAACATTGCCATGGTAGAAACTTAAGACATGTAGCACTAGTTTGGGGACTGGGTTATAGATATTTGCTGGAAAAGCAGCAAAGAGACTACTAATGGAAGCTGGAAAACCACTGAGGAAATAGGTATTTCAGGCTGGACAGAAGCCATGTAATCTACTGACAAAATAAGTGAGACTATATCTTGGAAGATACAAAAAGTACCTAGTGAAGTTATATATCTGGCTAAGGTTTCCAGGAAGAATGCTGAAAGTGATAAGCAATTTTTCAAAAAACACCTGTAAAAGGTATTAAAAGAGAGAAGAACTAAACAAGGAACTGCTCAGTTTCAAGCAGAATTTAGAGGAACATACTTTCAACCTGGGACTTGCAGGGTTACAAAATCAAACTTTCTTGTTACCAGTTTCTCCAGCAAAAGGTTCTGAAGTTTAAAAAATAAAAATAAAAATAAAAATAAAAAAATCCAGAGCGTTAACAGTAGGACTATGATCTCAGGGTCAAGATAAAATAAAGGACATGCAATACAACCTTGTTACTACTACAGATGCTCCCTGACTTACAGTGGGGTTACGTCTTAATAAACCCATCGTAAGCTGAAAATATTAAGTTGAAATGCATTCAGTACACCTAACCTACTATACATCATAGCTTAACCTGTCATTGCTTAAATGTGCTCAGAACACTTACATTATGCTATAGTTGAACAAAATCATCTAACACAAAGCCTATTTTATAAAGAAGTGATGAATATCTCATGATTTACTGAACAGTGTACTGAATATAAAAAACAGAATGGTTGTATGGGTAGTTGAAGTATGGTTGCTACTGAATGCATATTGCTTTCATACCATCCTAAAGTAAAAGAATTCTAAGTTGAACCATCATAAGCTGACGACCACCTGTACTTCAGAAAGATTTAAGCCAGTGCCTAGCGGATGCTCTTAGTTAGACAAAAGGCATCTAAGACTCTAAAGGGTATCATCCCTGATTCACATTCAAAGTATATAGAGGACTTCTTGAAGAAATTTGTGGGTGTGGCTTCTCTCTGGTGGGGTGAGTGATTTATAATTTGAAAGTCCACAGAGTTTTTTAAAGAAGTTGTGCCAGTGTGGATAACTGTGCCAGCTGCGACAGAGCCTAGAAGCAGGCTGAGAAAGCTATTCAGCTACAAAAACAGGACATTTCTCGTGGACAAGGAAAGACAGCTCAAAGAAAAAGTCAAGAACTGAGAAACAGAAAAGGGAGCCAACTTCAGAGAACCAAAATAGACTAATC